AGGGTGCCCATTGGGCTAACTTGGCACGGTAAGGGGGCCTTGGGGAGCTCACGGCCATCCTGCAGGACCCCATCCCATGACAAGGCCCATAAATGCATTTCATTGCTATAGTTGCCAAATCGTACAACTACTGAATGTGGCTGCAGAGACCACAAGAATTGGAAAAAAGTGGGGTGATTTATTACCTGTCTGAGTTGAATGGCTGACTTGTTAGAGGGAATGTGGGCCCAACAGCATAAACTTATATCTATGATGTTTTTGATAAAATTAGTTTTTTTAACAATGTGTAAACCTGCCAGGGATGTGCAGATAGTTCCTCCCGGTGCTAGAGAGATCAGCAGTTGTACTAGTGATCTTAAGAGGATATTGCCTAAGTGGATAGGAAATACCTTTGAAATCATCTGTATCTCAGAGATGAAAACAAACAGTTTAGGAGTTCCATCAATACTGGAACTGTGCTAATTGTCTCAGTTCCACCAGTTCTTTTTCATCTTTTGCGTCTGCCAGCCTCTTTTAATATCATTATAGTACTGTCATCAATTTTGCTTATCTTTAAGAAGTTAGAAGCAAAGAGTCTACCAAGGGACTTGGGCATCTAAAGAAGCCCTTAGATGTCCAAATCTAGCATTTTGGTGTTCACTGGTTCTTGCCTAACTTATAGGTAAGTACCTAACAGGGTTGGGCAAGTCTGCCTAAGTCCTGGTGCTGCCAGTCAGCCCTCAGTTTTCACATCCATGCCCCAGTGGGGTGCTCAAACTAGGGGCCAGATCCTATGAGTCCTCTGTATGGATTTAGAGTTCAATCCTGTTCCACCTTGTTTGAGTCCCTGAAAACTGTTAACATGTCTGCTTTTTGCAGGGCTGTCCAACTTATAAGTGGCCAGGGGTTGCATGCTCCAGGGCTGTACCAGCAGAGACCACACTGTGGTGGGGGAAGGAGGGGGCAACAGGCCCCAGGGCTGAATGCGGTTCTGACAACCCCGTTATACCACGTGAACTGTGCTCAAGTCACCTTCCCCACACCGGGCACTGCACTGTTTCACCTCCTGCTCACCTACTGGGGCAGGCGCAGAAAGCAGAAGCCAGAGGAGGGAGGGAGAGCCATGGACTCTCTCAGCTATTGCAGGCAGAGCAACAGGAGGAATGGCAGCCAAGTAGGAGGCCAGGGGTGCAGCTTAGCCCCTCATGGGCCATAGTGGGACAGCCCTGACTTTGTGTAACATTTCCTCATCTTAGCGTTAAGGTGGAGGACGATCCACCATCTTTTGAATCGGTGTTTTCTCAGAGGTTCAAACAAGGCGGAAGAGGAACACAGTTAGTTGGTAGGGTAGGGTCAGAAGAGACCTAAGCAGGTCATCAAGTCCAACCCCCTGCCATGGGCAGGAAAGAATGCTGGGGTCAAATGACCCTGGCTAGGTGATTGTCTAGCCTCCTTTTGAAGATCCCCAGGGTAGGGGTGAGCACCACCTCCCTAGGAAGTTGGTTCCAGCTCCTAGCCACCCTGACTGTGAAGTAGTGCCTCCTGATATCTAGCCTGAATCTACTCTCAGTCAGCTTATGACTGCTATTCCTTGTTCCCCTGAGCACTACGGGGAGTTACAGGGACTCTCCCATTGCCCGCTGGTCCCCCTTGGCAATTTTGTAGGTGGCCACCAGATCCCCTCTCAGCCTTCTTTTGTGTAGGCTGAACAGGTTCAGGTCCCATAGTCTTTTCTCATGGGGCCTACCCTGCTGTCCCCTGATCATGTGAGTGGCCCTCCTCTGGACCCTCTCAATGCTGTCCACATCACTCCTGAAGTGCGGCGCCCAGAACTGGACACAGTACTCCAACTGCGGCCTGACCAATGTCGCACAGGGGGGGAGGATCACCTCCTTGGACCTGCTCCTGATGCATCTGTGGGTGCATGACAAAGTGCCGTTGACCTTCCTGACCACGTCCCCACACTGGCGGCCCATGTTCATCTTGGAATCAATAGCAACTCCAAGATCTTTTTCTGCCTCTGTGCTGATGAGAAGGGAGTTCTCCAGCCTGTAGGTACGCTGCTGGTTTTTCCTCCCTAGGTGCAATACCTTGCACTTATCTGTATTGAAACTCATCCTATTCTCATCCGCCCACCTCTGTAACCTGTCCAGATCTAGTTGCAGCCTGTCCCTCTCTTCTAGCATGCTCACTTCTCCCCACATCTTAGTGTCATCTGCGAACTTGAGCAAGGTGCTTTTCACCCCCTCATCCAAGTCACCAACGAAGATATTGAACAGTGCGGGCCCGAGGACCGAGCCCTGGGGAACCCCACTGCCCCCATCCCTTCAGGTCAAAAATGACCTGTCCACCACCACTCTCTGGGTGCAGCCCTCCAGCCAATTTGCGACCCATCTGACTGTGTAGGCATTGACCCCACAGTCGCCTAATTTTTTAATGAGGATGGGGTGAGAGACAGTGTTGAAGGCCTTCCTAAAGTCCAGAAAGACTACGTCCATTGCGACACCTGTATCCATGGCTTTTGCGACCTGGTCATAGAAGGCAACCAGGTTGGTCTGACAGGACCTGCCTCTAATGAACCCATGTTGATTGCCTCCCCTGCTGGTCCCTTGCAGATGTGCTCCTGGATAACTTTCTCAAAGGGCTTCCCCAGGACCAAAGTAAGACTAACAGGCCTATAGTTTCCTGGGTCCTCTTTCCTCCCTTTTTTTGAAAATGGGGAGCATATTGGCCCTTTTCCAGACCTCTGGCACCATGAGTGCTTGTAAAGCTGTGCCAGGGGTCCCGCGATGACCTCTGCCAGTTCCCTCAGCACTGTGGGGTGGAGATCGTGGTGAGTATTCGAACCATTGGGCTACTGGGTGCAATTGAGTAGGGATTCACTTTCTGGTTCTTGTTGTTTTTTGTCCCCCTCCCCCCCATGAGAAATGTCGGAGAGACGCCTGAATGTAGGAGAATGCTAACAGCTGAGAATCCACTTCTCCACACATCCTAGTAGGCGGTTTAGGCAGCTGCCTGTTCAACTTGCTGCCTTCTGTGGTTCCTGTTCTTAGCTGCCTACAGCTCCCAATGCAGTAGATCCCCTGGATCCCTGCAGTCCATGGGATTGAGACCTCCACTGGGTGGCAGTGCCCAAGTTTGGGATATAGCCCCAGAGCCTTAATCAGAATGTGACATGACTGTGGAGGCAGGCTGTTCTATGTTTCCCTTCTCAGAGAAAAGAAAAGGTTATAGCCTTTGGAGAAGAGGAGAATGATGGATTTGGCAATATTTGGAAAGGTAGAAAGCAATACCAGCAAATGATGCTTCCTTCCTCAAAGTGTGCAGAGACCCACAAAGTAACTCTTCTATTGTTTCTCTTTTCTCCCAAAGGTTTTGAGCATGTTACTGGATTGCTTTAATTTATTGCTAACCAGAGAGCAGTTGTTGTATCTTTCCAGTGTTTTCCTTGGAGTTCCCATTTTGACAGATGTTACTGATTGCTGTATTTGAGAGCAGCACAGCAAACTGCTATACAAAGACTGGTCTTGCAAGCATTGCGGTTTTATCCTCCAAATCACTTTCTTCCCTGCTTTCCCCCAGCCCTCTGCATCAAGAAAATAACTTGGTGACAGCAATGGGGCATGCCTACTTTTCTGGCATAGGTACAAAAAGTCCACATTTAGCTGGGCAGTCCCAGTTGTTTAACCCAGATAGCATAAATCAGATATCTTTGACAGTAGCTGGAAGTATGCCAAGATACTGTGGTGCTCTGTTCATTGGCTTCCTCTCCATATTAAAGAACTACTTGCCCAGGCCCAACAGGAGAGCCAGTGAGTAAGGATGCTGGAGCTGTCAGTTGCTTACCTAGCGGAGAAGGGGCTGCAAGTGTTGGGCAGGAAGCAAAGGGATAAAATCAAGCTGTCTGTGCTCCTACTGATGGGTTAAACTGAACTTCAGGGGTACTACAAGGCCAGCATATACGACCAAGTAAAATTCCATCAAACATGTGAGATGTTAGCCTTTGGCTTATTAACAGAGACGATTTTCTTAAGAAATGAGCTTTGCTTCTTTGATTTTTCTCTGATTACCATTGATCCCAAGGGCTAGACTGTGACTGGCTGTAGGTATGTGCAAGGAAGTATGCCTTTATGCCTCTTGCCATGTCACACTATTAAGCTAGGCCAGGGCTGTCCAACTTTGGAGTGTCAAGGGATGTATGGAGCACTTGTGTTCAGCACCCAGGCTCTCTCAGATACCCCGCACTGTCTGAGCTACAGTAGTGTCACATGGTCCCTCAGCTGTGCATGCTGCACAGGACCACTGGGCCCTGACTCCACCACATGGCAGTAGGAGAGGCAGCCATCACAGCCTGCAGGCCACATGTTAGCTGCTCATGGCCCACACACAGCCCGCAGGCCACCAGTTGGACAGCCCAGAGCTAAGTTACTTGCTCACTTCCCCCCAGAGCTGGTAGCAGGAGAGCAATAGACATGAGCAGAACCATACATTCCTTGCTCAGGATAGATTCATAGATGTAGGGTCAGAAAATCATCAAGTCCGACCCCCTGCCCTGGGCAGGAGAGAAAACCGGGCTCAAATGACCCCAGCCAGGTAGCTGTCAAGCCTCCTCTTAAAGACCCCCAGGGTAGGAGTGAGGACCTCTTCCCTGGGAAGTTGGTTCCAGATCCTAGCTGCCCTGACTGTGAAGTAGTGCCTTCGGATGTCTAGTCTAAACCTACTCTCTAACAATTTGTGGCCATTATTCCTTGTCACTCCGGGGGGCGCTAGGGGGAACAGGGTCTCTCCCAAACCCTGCTGGTCCCCCCCCTAGTGAGTTTATAGATGGTCACCAAGTCCCCCCTCAGCCTTCTCTTGTGAAGGCTGAACAGGTTAAGGTCCTGTAGCCTCTCTTCATAGGGTCTGCCCTGCTGTCCCCAGATCATGCGGGTGGCCCTCCTCTGGACCCTCTCAATGTTGTCCACATCCCTCTTGAAGTGGGGTGCCCAGAACTGGACACAGTACTCCAGCTGTGGCCTGACCAATGTCACATAGAGGGGGAGGATCACCTCCTTGGCCCTGCTTGAGATGCATCTGTGGATGCATGGCAAGGTATGGTTAGCCCTACTGACCTAAGCTAGTGTGAGAGAGCAGGTAGTAGCTAATTTTCTGCTGGACAACACCAGGAGTTATTATTCCTGGAACAAGGTAGAGTCAGGGGAGAGACGGATTCTGAGGAGTGCCTGGGTCACCAGGCCTCTGGTAGCTCATGCTCCATCCTTCACTTGATGTTGGACCTTGAGTGAAAATCTACCTGATATCCAGATGGCTTCCCTGCATCGGATAGACTCAGCAGGATGGAGGAAGTAAGGCACTATCAAGGATATCAAAATCTGGCCTTTTAAGCACATGCTAAAGTGGAATACTGGAATAGTAGATAGCCAGGGCTTGACAGGAAAGCATATATTTTCCTTGCTGCCCTTGCTCATGTAAGTCATCCTGACAGTCAGTGAAATCAAATGAGGAAATGCCCAGTAACTTCCTCCCCTAAGCCCTCACAGTGTAGCAGCTGCTACCAGACTTTTAATTATGTTTCTGCAAAAAGGCATGTGAGATCATCTTGTCAGTAGAGAATTTAATGTCATTGACTATTGGTGAAGCAGGTAGATGGGTGAATCTTTTGCTCCTAGAATCAGTAGCTAATTCAACAATGTATATATGGGTATAAATAATGTTGCAATGTGCCTGTTTACAGCATCCTTTCCTCTGTATGTTTCTGTTCACACTTCTTCCCATTAGATGTGTTTTTTCCCTTGCCAAATTCCACCACGGCAGAGCTTGAAGAGAGGCTGCACACCATTGCATTCAGGAGTTCTCAACTTGGCACAGAGGACCAGGGGGTAGATGGAGCTTTATGTAACCACAGAATAACTTCTAGTCACTGGGGAGTAGCACAGGAGGGGTTTTTGGCAGCTTTTAAGAAAAGAGATGTCAGGTTATTCTGTGTCTTCTAAAGCTGCAGAAAGTATTGAACAATTGTGGCATAGATTGTGCGGGTCAGGCTAGATGATCTGTTCAGGTCCCTCCTGACCCTAGCCGCTATGAAACTACTATGAAACTATGAGATGCAGCCCCTGAAGTATTGTTGCTGTGCCCCCCTCACAAATACAATCCACGCCCCTACCTCCAGTGGAGTCTGAAATGTTTTGGTAACTCATTATACCAATTATTGTCCATGATTGGCATGCTGCAGCTCCATCCATGGAAAAATGTCTTGCTGTGTGGCAAGACCAGATGCCTGCTGCAGGCCCAGTTCTGATTCCACATGCCCCAGTGTAACCCCTGATTTCACTGTAGTTACTCCTGCTTTACACTCTTTGCCCTGCACAGAGATCCATCTATAGTGGGTAAATAAGGAAGGGTTATTTTACATACAGTGGTTGCCTGGCAAACGCTCTGTTTTACTTCCTCTTCTTGAGGAATTCACAGATGAAATAGATAGTGAGGTGACACTCAGAGTCATTCCATTCCCCAGTGCTGAGCATCTCCACACAGTCCTCGTGCCCAGATGTGTCCCTTGGCTCCCCTTCCTTCCAGTTGCTGTAGTTTTGCAGCGGGGCGTTGTCCGCATACACAAAGTGTCCTTCCTTCTCCATATCATTCAGCCCTATGAACACTCGGAAGAGGCCGTTCTTGGAGATGTAGTCTGCTATGAGTGCATTGGTTGCCTCATCTCTTGGCATGGCCAGCATTCCCCCTCTGATCCTGCAGTGGGTCAGTGCTTCCCTGTAGCTCTTCTCTTCCTTTACAATGTAATAGAATTTCTCATCTGTTTCCCTGATTCCTGCAATTACTATAGGAGGAAAAAACAAACATTTTTTCAATGGTCTTTCTGTAAGTCTCTCCTCCTTAAAAGGTGTGACGACAGGAAATAGCCAAATATAGCTGGGAAAGGGATTCTTGTGGCGGGCCAGTAGGGGGTGCTCCTGCGTTGAGCCGCCCACCTCCCTGCACCCGACCACCTTCCAGGCTCCGAGTGCCTCCCTGGGGTGCCTCCCGTCCGGCCGACCCCTTCCCTGGAGCACACCCACTAGCCTGGGGTTCCCGCTGCCACCATCCAAGGCTCTGGACTCACTTCTGGCTCTGCGCACCTTGGAAAACACAGGCCTGATCGTCCAATGGGCACTAGACCCAATACAAGCACTTGGGGCACTTCCCCAAGTCAGGGGCTTATTAGGAAGCCTCCCTTAGTCCACCGACCTAAGGGGCCTGCTTGGCATAATTTAGACCCACCCCTCAATAAGTCTCCACACCGGTCACAAGGAGAACTTTATTGATTACAGGGGTAGGGCAGAAACAGGGTAAAAGGTAGAGCAATATCATAGAAATATTACAGGAATATCAAAGGAATCCCATAGAGCAAACCAGGGTGGCTGAGGTAGCCGTTTAAACACGCATCTGAGTTACTGAAGCTAAATATCTGATCGGATCTCTAGTAGGTTACTCACTCACATCGTCCAGAGGTGCTTGTTGTTTCCTCTGGAGGCAGGGCACTCTTGCAGCATGCGGTGATGAGGAGAGAGCCAGGTTCAGATTCACCTGGATGACCGCATGGCTAATGGCTGCCCTTCTTCCTGGCCCAGGCCTTTGTATCACCTCTCTGACCTCAGCAGCCGGTCCAATCGAAGCTGCCAATACTGGCTACAAACCGCCCACTCTGCACAGCATCCTGGGCTACCTGGGCCTGCGCACAGGGCCGGGTCTTCCCCCCCCCGCCCAGGTGACCAGAGCATCGCCTCCCAGGCGCCAGGCTTTTGTCTGCAGACAAGGAGCGAGATCCCCGCTGTGAGAGATTCAACAGCAGCCTCTCAGGCTGGCTGAGACAGATCTCTGGAGAGGGGCACCCACGGGGCATTTCTGCCACAGTTCTCAGAGTTGAGTTTATTGCAATAGTCAGAGGTGAAATGGAGAATGATGTTGTTAATAAGAAAGACACACTGCTGAATCCTCAGTTCTGACTATCCCCCTTGATAGTTTGCTTTTGGGCCTCTCTGAAGCAGAAGTTGTCAGGTCAGGTCTTAGATGGATGAAGAAAAATGCACAACTCAGCAGAGACCTTCAAACCCTGTGACTTCATATAAATTTCAGGTTGGTGCTCCAGGAAAAAAACTGTTAGGCTGTTAACAACATTAGAGTCCTCCCTGTGTAACTGGAGACCAGAGTTCTCAAACTCAGTTAAGCATTTAATTTGGCCTGGTTTTCAGAGCTGCTCAGTATCCACTAACTACAGAGGGGCTCTAGGTGCTCAGTATCTCTGGTAAGCAGGCCTCTTGAGACACATCTGCACGGTGCCAGGCAGTGCTGTGCAGTTACCTGCGCATGCTTGCTTCAGAGCTGGAAACAGTAGGGCTGCAGTTCTATAACACTGCCTGCATGGTAATTCGCTCTGCTGAGCTGCTGTGCTGCTCCCAGTTCCAGAGCTCACACCTATAAAACTGGCTTGAATACCTTGTCACAGCACTGCCTTGTAGTGGAGAGGCTCTGCTTTGTGACTTAGCACATTCACAACTAATGTAGGACATTGCTGTCTGGTACTCCGTTGTGGTGCGGAGGCAAGTAAGTAGGATTCAGCTGTGTCCTATATATTGGACATGACTGAGATTCTCTCCTTTCCCATGAAAGAGCAGGTGCTGTTGTACCTTTCCAGTGGGTGCAGCATGCTCCTCACTGCATGTTTGGAAGGATCCAAGGGAAGCTCCAAGATCTTCACTCCTCATTACTGTGCCTGCAGCCCCTTTAAGCTGTAGGCTAGCTCAAGGGCAATAAATACCACACCTGCACTTGGGAGCACCAGGATTACAATAGCACGTGGCTATTGGATTGAAGGGGTAGGAAGCTTTTTGTGTTCTCCTTTACTTTTATGCCCTGAGCAGCAGATTGGCACAAATTTGTTCCTTGTTTAGTGAAAATGGATATGATATAGTGCTCTTTCAACTGGCTGCAGAGGTGCAAGAGAATACATTAGGGAGAAAGCAGTGGAGAATGACCTGAAACCTTTAGTTATATAATATGTGGGGGTTTTTTAGAAAGAAAAATTACAGCAGACAACTTTGTGCTTTTTCAAATGATGCCCCCTCATGTTTGGGTAGAGGTCTGCAAAGCCACCTCATTGTCTTACCTCAAATCACTCCTTAATCTTTACACTAATTACAAAGACTCCCTAGAGGTCATGCAGTTGCTGTGCCATGGCTAGTGCTGTTTGTGGTGACTGCTATCAACTCATCGTTTATCCTTGTGCGGCATCTAGTTTCTTCAGGTTTTTCTTTAATCCACTGCTCATCTCTAGTCTGATGTGTAAGCTCTTTGAGACACAGTGGGCACGTATACATGTCATGCTAAGGTGACATAGCACCACACTACATCACCGTGCAGTGCGCTACAGCAGTATAGCGGTCATGTGTCTACATGTAATCGCCAGTTATGTTACCACAGCGGCGCATTCCCTGGGTATAGTGTGCCACTGCGGCAGTGTAGCAGCAAAATCTACCCATGTGCCGCATGCACAGCACAGTACCCTCCTGTACTGCCCCGTGCTTTAGTACTTCCTTTTAGTACTTCCAAAAAGAAGTACTAAAGCATGGCATTGTAGCAGCGTCACCATACAGCGATGTGTAGACATGCCCAGTCTGTCTTTTTGTCACGTGTTTCCACCGTGTGTAGCACAGTTGGGTCTTCTTTATGTAGGTGTCACGAAGATAGAACAGTAACAATAAAACCTGGCAGGAACCAAATAAACTGTATAAAACAGATGACAGAGCTTACCATTTTTTACAAATTTCATGGATGTCTTCAGTCGAGCAACGTTAATATCCAGTTGCCCAACAACTTTGCGGTACCTCCCACAGTCACAGACCGTGCCTGAATCAAGAGAGGGACATTGGATGCATCAGCTGAGAAGGCTGGTATGTGGGGTTCAATAATTCTTGACCTGCCAATCCACCCTCAGGCCCTTTAGAAAACCTATTGATTATTTGCAGGAAGTTAGCATTTTTACCCCTGATGCTGCTTTCACTGATGACAACACTCCTGTTTATGTCAATAAGAGCTCATTTGTGCTTTGTTACAGTCCCATGTTAACTTTTCATTTGTGTTTGGCTTAGATTTTTCCCCTCTTTTAGATATCCTTAGTTTTGAAAAATATTTTTTTCCATGGGTCAGGGTTTTCTTTCTGCTCTCCGTATCTACAAAGTAGGACACTTCATTGTCCACATCTTTTCCCCTCCCATCTATTCCCATATCCCATTGCAAGGCTTCCTAAATCATGGCTATTTCCAGAACACTTGTGGCAGAGATGAAAGCAGGGAAAGTTAACCCATCTGTGGGGTCCACTATTACTATCAGCTTCCCCAAAGGAGCTGGCTATGTCTTAGCACAGTCATGGGATTGAAGCCCTCAAGAAGCAGAAAACTTCCTTCAGG